GTAGTTCATAGAGCCCTTTTAGACATGTATTGCTGTATCTTTGATGCCTGAAAGCACTTACGTTACTTTAGGCAGTACATTTTAAATAACAGCCAAACATTAAAATTTGTAAAGAGGAAGTTAAATTGATTTCATTGAAATATTTCTTTGTAATGAGAGATCCCTTCTTTATCAATGCAATTATTTTTGCTTGAAAACAATTTAATGTTTTTTCTATTTGTTAGGCATACTCTGAAATCTGTTCCTTCCTTTCCCAAATCTTACCCACTAAGTTGATCATTATAATTCACAAAATACAACCAACATACCCAGCTCCCAAATGGTAGAATTTAAATAGGGAAGAAACTTATCTGTTTGACTATTAGGTGAGCTAGAATTCTCTTTGAGATAGGTTTGCTGACTTCATGTTGTCTTTCACATTCGTTTAAAAGTACCAATTTCTGGAGTATTTGGAAGAATATCAGGAGTGTGCAAAGTCATAAAATAAATCCCTTTCTAAAACATTAGTTTTATTAAAAAATTTAGAATAGGTGAGTATGGGGAAACTTTTTATATTAGAATAGTTTTATGGAGAGGAATACAAAATATGCATGAATGTTTAAGGTAAAGCATAAGACTTCAAATAAATTCAGTACTTTGGCCTGATTTTCAGCCCAACCACCCAGTTCTCCTACCTGTTAGATAAGAGTACGTTTTGTGGAAGTTTTTGAGAACTACTCTGAGGTATTACCAACAATGATGATTTCTTTATGACCAGGTTATTGCCCTTCTTGTAGATAATTAACAAATCAACACTACATCTCCTTCTGTCTGGAAGGAGATGTATTTTATCCTATTAGTCAAATAGTTCACTTTTATATATTTAGATTTTCATTGTGTTAAGTAGCTTTTTGCTGTACAGTAGTCATCCCTTATTTGCAGGAGATATATTCCAAGACCCCCTGAAACTCTGTATATATTATGCTTTTTCCTATATGCACATACCGATGATAAAATTTAATTTCTAAATTAGGCATAGTAAGAGATTAACATCAGTGACTACTAATAAATAGAATGAATGTAACAATGTACTGTAATGAAAGTAAAATAAGGGTTACTTGAACACTAGCACTGTGATATACCTCAGCAGTCAGTCTGATAACCCATATGGCTACTCACAGGCAGGAATCGTACACAGTGTGGATATGCTGAACAAAGGGATGATTCATGTTCCAGGTGGGACATAAGTGGGCTGGCTCAAGATTTCATCATGCTACTAAGAAGGGTGCACAGTTTAAAACTTAAGAATTATTTATTTCTGCTATTTGCCATTTAATGTTTTTGGACCACTGTTGACATCAGGTAACAGAAACCACAGAAAGTGAAACTATGGAGAAGTGAGGACTAACTATTATACTTTAAAATGTGATACAGAATTAGGTCTTTTTATTTTACTTTGTGGTCTGAGAATACTTAGATGAAAAATATGACCATGATACCAAATATTTTCTTGTTACATATACTTCATTGGAAATACTGTTGAACATAAGACGACAGATTTCATAATGAATATCAAATCTTGAGGTTGCTTTATTGGCAGGTCTTCTACATTGAAAATCTATATTAATATACTAGCTCATATTAAGTATGCTAATGGACCACAAAGAAGCCATGCATATCTTTAGCTAGGCCTATCGAAAAAATGTTGCTCTTTTTTGTTAATACAGCTTGTTAATTTTATAGCCTTCTAGGGCTTAATAATTGCTACAGGGTAGTCAAATCATAGCAGCATAACAGAAAAGATTAAAAAGAAAAAGCCCTGCTTAATAACATAGCAACAAATATTTCAAATATACCCCAGAAACTAAATTTAGAAAAGTGATTTTATCTGGATAGAATACATTTTGGAAAGAGCTCATCACAGACTCTGACATTAGGGAATTTCTGACCTGGCTGGACTCTAGAGATAATCTGTGCATTTAGATTAATGTTAAGGTAAACCTGCGATCTGCTTTTCTGTTACTGTTTTTTATGACCATGGAGCATTGTTTGTTGAAGAAACAAATCTTTGGGACATTCTTCATATCTCTAATGGCTTTTATGAATGGGATTGAAACTACAGAAAGCCATTTTTTAGATCCCTTTTGGAAACTCTATACTGAACAAAATTATTGTGATTACTTTTTCCTTTAGTAGGTGTTCACTAAATACTTTTAAATAAATAAATGAAAATAAATGTTTTGATATCTACTTACAGATTTTCCTCTTTCATCGTGTCTTCAAGATTTTACCAGTCTAAACTGGGAGGGATTTTGTTGCATATTTTCTTACCTTGACAGTATTTATTCTTTGCTCACAATACAGATTGGGTATTGCTAATACAAAAATTGGAAATCTGAAATGCTTCAAAATTTGAAATTTTTTTGGCACTGGCGTGATGCTAAAAGTGGAAAATTTCACACCACACCTTATGTGACAGGTCACAGTCAAAACACAGACATACAGCACACAGTTTATTTAGTGTACCTCCACAAGGGAAAAAAGACCCTCCCAGAATCCCTGTAGCTGTGATAGAGCGTTTTTGAGCATGCACAGATTCTCCTGCGCCATCAATCCTACAGAGGCATCTGAGCAGGCTGGGCATGCCAACAGCAGGCCCCTCACAGTGTCCCACATGGGAACAAGACCTCCTTGCATTACTCACTGTTTGTTTGCTTATTCTATGCTCTGTGATTTAAAGATACTGTTTAAAATGTTTAAAAAAAAAAAAAAAAAAAAGTCCTGCATCATACCCATCGGGTAATGTCGATATTCCCAAATTGGAAACTATTTCAAATCTGAAACACTTCTGGTCCCAAGCATTTTAGATAAGGGCCACTCAACCTGTATACAGCATCACTCATTTCTTTGTTTTATGCATCGTCCTACAGATTCATCACTTCATGCCAAATTTCACGTCTTTATACTTTTTAATATTTCTCTAATCTACTTACTACTCTGTCATGCTATCGGCATAGCTTTTGCCTAAACCATAGTATTATATGTCTTGTTCCGTGACCAAATGTTTGGTAACTTTTTCCTTCTTTACAAATGGTTTCCATATTTATAAAGGATACACACACATACACACAGTCAAATATTTATAATATAGTGAAAGAAGTTCTGGAACTTAAGTGGGAAAAGATTTTTAAAATTGTCTAGTCTAGCCTTTTTTCTTTCTTAGTGAGATCAGTAACGCCCAGAGAGATAAGCAGACTTTGTCAAAGTTACTTTGAAAGATGTTATTGCAAGTGGGCTTCAGAGTAAAAGCAGGAAAAGGGAAGGCATTGTAAAGAGATGGGAACAAAGGAAGCAGGATAACCTGCTAACAGAGTATAAAGTCTCTTCGTGTGTATATATTTGTTTAGTTGTCTGAATTCTTTGTAAATATATCAGTCTTTGAGATTACCCTCTTTGAGAAAAGGGCCTGGGTCCCATTCATGGGCCTAGTGGTATGCTAAACATAAGTAATATATAGGCCAGGGAAAATGACTTGAATGCTATGATAAGTAAGAAGAAATAAACCTATTTATTGAGCACTACTATGTGCCATGTGCTTTCACACAAATTATTTCAAAGACAAGATACAATCAACTCTTGAACATTCATGATTCTAGTTTTCATTTATCCGGTTGATTGCAGTATCTCTACCAGAGGGCAGGCAAGAAGGAAAACCTATGGGATTCATGTTATACAGAAGTTGCTGTAGTTGAGTAGGGTTCTGGGCAGAAGTAAATTTAGTAGCTCAAAGAAAAGGTTTAGATTCCCTGTGGGCTTCACTTACACCTATTCCTGTTATCTTATAGGATATGTGCATTCTATGAGCTTTGGAGAAATAAGTACCAGTAACAGAAATTTGGGGTTAATGTCTCTGCACACAGAATAGAATGAAAATTAGGGGCCAGGCGCGGTGGCTCAAGTCTGTAATCCCAGCACTTTGGGAGGCCGAGACGGGCGGATCACGAGGTCAGGAGATCGAGACCATCCTGGCTAACACGGTGAAACCCCGTCTCTACTAAAAATACAAAAAAAAACTAGCCGGGCGAGGGGGCGGGCGCCTGTACTCCCAGCTACTCAGGAGGCTGAGGCAGGAGAATGGTGTAAACCCGGGAGGCGGAGCTTGCAGTGAGCTGAGATCCGGCCACTGCACTCCAGCCTGGGCCACAGAGTGAGACTCCGTCTCAAAAAAAAAAAAAAAAGAAAGAAAATTAGGCTTGTCCCAATACATAAGTCAGTGAATTGCAAATAAAGTGTTGGTGGTGTTCATGTTTGTTTGTTTTTAGATTTTTGTTTTTTCTGTCTGTGCTCTTGTCAGAAATCATCCCTTTCTGGTTTGATTAAGTTGGAATTGTTTTCAGAGTTAAATATTTTCTTAGTTAATGTTTTTAACTTTATAATTTTTTTGGACTAAGAATAACATGTACTACAAACCTTCCTTTACGTTACTGTCATCTTTTTATTTAATCATACAATTTATATGCTACTAAAGAATGCAGGGTATTGGTACCAGGAAAAAGTAAAATTGCCCGTGTATATTTAGTAAAATATTTAAAGTACATATTTTGTTTATTTTATTAATAGGATTTAAACAAACGTATACAAAATGTAAATCAAAATCAATTGATTGTACCTGTTTTGGTAACAAAAAAAAATGAAACCCATGTTTTAAAAATTGGAATATATTTCTGTCCTGGATTATAATTTGGCACCTGCGTCCTTTGTAGGACTTTCCATATTTAAGATGTCTCTGATGATTGAAAACATTTTTAATGTAAAAGTTACATGCGTCTTTTATTACAAAGGTGAAAAAGATTGCCTTATGAGAGATTAAGTTTTTAAAAAAGCAACAACAAAAACAGAACAGAGTGTTCCTGAAGAATTCTTCATACCTTTGGAAGAAGTCTAGTTTTTGTAAACTGCAGCTATAGGCACATATTTAATTTTATTCTGATAGATGTTAAAAATTTTTTCTATTATTTCAGAGTAAGTGAGGAAAAGGAAGTGACGGAGGAAAGACTGAAAGCTGAGCAGGAGTCATTTGAGAAGAAGATCAGGCAGTTGGAAGAACAGAATGAACTGATCATCAAAGAAAGGGAAGATATCCTTTTGAAAGTCTTCTTTTTTAACGTGCAGGAAGTTTGACTATTTCATGAAGACAATGTAAACTCCAGAGAAATAATTGTTCTAATTTGTAACAGGGAGTAAATCTGCATGTGCTGCTGTTTCTAGGCAATCAGAAGGACACTTAACAGTATGTGCTGTAGCTTCCTTTGTGCCTGATAAGGCCCTCCAGCTGTTTTGCTGCTGCTGTTATGCTGCTAAGCACATACTTGTCAACTAAAAAGGACAATAAGAAATTTGGTCATTTAAATATAATGTTGGAACTTTATTAAATTCTGTTCCTCTGCTGTAATTGAGCTGGAACTTCCTTGTGTTTGGTATTCTTTCTAGTTAAAGCTTTGACAATCCTAGGAATTCTCTGAAATCATAAAAATTTAAAAAAGTTCTTTTTACTGTAAAGATGTTGTAATTGATAAGTGTCTATATGGCAACATAAAGCTGCCAAATCCTTCTTATGGAGCAGAAAACTATTGGGTTTAGACCTAGAGGGGTGTGTGTGTGTGTGTGTGTGTGTGCACGCGCGCGTGTGTATAGCATTATTTGTAAGAAAATAAAGTAAAAACATATTTTAGGGATGTGTTAAAATAAGCTATTTCTGAAATTTCTTTTGAATAGGTAGAATTACTTATCTTTGGGTATTGTATGCAGCAATACTCATGTAGAAGAGAAGTCCCTAAAGTTAGAGTGATGGAGCTGTCAGCTAAACTAGTGTGTGAATGCTTGAAACAATTATTTTTATTGGCAGTATCATCATTAACTTGATTGTTAATAATTGTTTCAAAGATTCTGCAAATGTCAAAAATGGTCATGTACTGACAGTAAGTATGCCTTTGTGAATACCAGAGAAGTGGAAGCATAAAGATAAATTATAATAATTAGCTTGAAAAACACAAGACTGTAGCTACAAAAACAGAGTCCTGAACTTTTATTTTCCAATCAGTGGAAGTTCATGATAGAAAAATAATATTATCAGAATTCTCAGAATTGATTTGCTGAGTATAACATTAAGAAGGCTTGTTGGCCCCACAATTCTAGATCAGTGCTTTTTCAGTTATTATTTTTTTCTACATCTCTAGCATTTGCATAATCATCTCCCACCTTCTCTTTTTTTTTTTTTTTTGCCCATTTTGACTTCATTGTCATTGGTTGTTGACCCTCAAGGTAGATGGTCTTTTGTGTTTTTCTTCCTGCTACTTTTTTCTCCAGATTTAAAGGAATGCTGTTTAGTCAGAATTCATAACAAAGTGCTCAGCCAGTTTTATTTACTCTTCTATTTCTCATGAGGAGTAGTACTCCAGGTCCTAGCATTTTCTAGAAATGGTAGGTTAGGAATGCTTTCATTTGCAAAAAAAAATTCAATTTACAAGCTCCTTTGTTTCTCACATAATAAGAACTCTGGAGATCATGGAAGATTCAGTGGTTTAACATTTTCAGTGCTGGCATCTTTACAGTTCTCTCAGGTTTTTTTAATGGTTGCTCAGATTCTAGGCATTACATTTCCATTAAGGCAGGCAGAAAAGGGGAAGAGGTCCTGGTAATTATGACTCCCTCTCCCTCCTTTAAAAAACATAAAAACTTTATGAGAGCACTCCCTACTCCCCACCCAGTAGTCTTTTATATGATATTTATAAAGGTCCTGCATTTTGTGATGTGGCCATGGTAGGCTGCAAAGGAGGCTAAGAAAGTGAGCATTTAACTTGTCCAACTTAGGTAGTAGAAGGCAGCACTGGAGAAGACTGGAAATGAAGTCAGCCCCCAACTCTGGTAGCAGCGGTAAGGGGAATACAATTCACTCTTTGTATGGAGAGGAGGTGGTGATACTTTAACCTTCCTGGGACAAAAAATCTGTAGCATACAGTGGAATTGGGATGAGTTGGGGAAGGGTGAGAGAGGTTGGTAATAGACAGTTTAGAAAACCTGGCCACAGTTAGAGTGGGCCCTTGTTTGGTAAAATACTTTAGAAAATTTTGTGGTTATCTGGAAAAGTAGAATCTAACTCAAGTAGACTGTTATATTTAGCACTTTCTGGGGCAGGATTAATTCTATTCAGTGCTAAACCAGTCTATACTTTGCATGGCTGTGAATGGTTTCTTTTGTCAGGCTAAATGTTATGATACCTGGGTGATTGTAGTGACACTATTTTTCATGTTTTCCTCATGATTTAACTCAGGGGTGAACATACTACTACCATGGGCCACATCCAATAGGGTGCCAGCTAATTCTAGCCGTACCCATTGCGTTATGTATTGTCCGAGGCTGCTTTTGTGCAATAACAGCAGAGTAATTGCAGCAAATACCCTATGCCTTTCCTAACCTAAAATATTTATTATTTGACTCTACAGTAAAGGTTTGCTGGTTCATGATTTATCTTACAAGCTAAGAAAAGAAAGGAAAAGATATGTGAGTAAACTCAAAGACTTTTAGTCATGTGGCATAGTCAGACTTATTTTACATATGGTAAAATAAGCATTTCTTTATTATCGTGAATAAGAATTGGAGTAAATGTTATACCATTGTCAAAAATTAAAATTTTTTAGTTGGTCTAACTGGTTTAAGTTTTTTTTTTTAAGCACTAAAATACGGGTAGTATTTATAAAACTTTGTTATCAAAGAAGGAAGAAAGGAAGACATGATTTTTTTAAAATGATATTTATGGTTTTCATTCTGAGTAGATCGCTCAGGTGCAAATCTCCTTTACCAGAATAAACCTGTCAAAGGTTAATATAGATGATTTTACAGTACATAAACCTCTATAAAACTTAGAAACATAAAACAAGGTTATTATTTAAAATAATATAATTTTAACTACGGATACATTTACCTATCATACATGAATGATTCAGACTCTTAACGTATACATGAAATCAGATAATTTCAGATCATTTTAAAGTCTGTTTCTGTGTGAGAAAATATATCCATTAATTCTGATTTTTGGCATTTTAAAGATGTATTATACCAACATTTATGGGATTTTTGTTTTAAAAGTTTGAGTAACTTGATTTATTGATCAACTGTATAAACACAGACCAGTGCCTTAGTAAAAAAGAAAAGATATTTTACGTGTGTGCATCAGGATCAGCCTGTTGAAGGGTTTGTTCTTGTAGAAAATTGTGCATTTATTATTAAAACATAAAAAGTCTTAGTAACATTCAGTCTTTAAGCAAAGAAAGTTTATGTCTGGAGAACTTAACCATATAAATGAGTGTGCGATTTACAAAGCCAAGCAGTCTGATGAACTTAGTAGGTTTTTGCCTGGCTGGATGAGTATAAAAAGAAAGATAAATCTGAAACTTAAAGAGAAATATGTATAATCACAATAATTCTGAAACGTGTTAGCGTGTAATAGTGTAAGACACAGAGGATGTAGCCATTATAAAATTTGATTAATATTTAAGCTAATTGTATTTCTAGAACATATGACTCAGATCAATGGTGAGCAGTGGTATTAAAAGCTTATATTAGAAAAGTATTAAAGTCTAATGTTTGCTGACTTCACTGTTTTAACTGGCATAGCAAAGGAAAGTGACAGCAAAGAAAGCACAGTGGGATTTAGAGTCATAATCCCATTTTAGCACTGACTAGCTATCTGATCCCTTGGGAAAGTTACTCAACTTCTCTGAGTCTTTCATCTATAATATGTAGATAACTAACATGCCTTTTTTGCAGGCCTATTGGAATTTGGTAGATCCTTTACATTATATGTGTAAAGGACCTAGTCTAAGTAGCCACTGAATAAAAAATAGCAATTCTCATTTTTACTATTATTAATACGGAGCAGGGATGAGATGACTAGCCCACGTTTCTCATTTCTGTGCCTTTCTTCATTGGGATTTTGTTGATTTTCATTACATTATGCAAGGGTTGGGCTGCTTAGTAGCCCAGTAGAAGAATGTTTTGTCTTCTGCTTTATCTTCTGATCTCTCTGGAAGGAAAAACCTCTATGTACCACTAGCACCTGTTGAGTGCTCACTGGGAGGAAACCAAGTTTTAGTTTCCTCTCCCAGAAATCAAACTCAGTTGTGTCGTTTTTTATTTTTGTTTCTGTTACTTCTCTGACTAGGACTTAGTAAACTGAAGGGCTTTAGAGGTGCTTGTAGCTCACATCCTTGAGCCCATTTCGTGGGTCGTCATTTTAGAAACTGCTCTTCAAAGAAAGAATTTTAAGGGAACTAGTTTGCTTGCTTGCTTGCTTGCTTTCTTTCTTTCTAGCAAAATCACCTTTATTTGCATATGGTATGAAACTTAATTTGGCATATCCAAATCAATGATACTATCTATGTAAAAGTAATAACCAGCCAGAAGATTAAAATGGCAGAAAAAGAAGTTTAAAATGTCCACAAAAAAATATGGCTGGGTGCCGTGGCTCACTCTTGTAATCCCAGCACTTTGGGAGGCCAAGGCAGGCAGATCACCTGAGATCAGGAGTTCGAGACCAGCCTGGCCAACGTGGTGAAACCCTGTCTCTACTAAAAATACAAAAATTTGCCGGGCAAGGTGGTGCATGCCTGTGGTCCCAGCTACTTGGGAGGCTGAGGCATGAGAATCGCTTGAACCTGGGAGGCAGAGGTTGCAGAGAGCTGAGATTGTGCCACTGAATTCCAGCATAGGTGACAAAGTGAGGCTCCATCTCAGTAATAAAATAAACCTAACAGTAATGTACAAAACCTTTAGGAGGAACATTTCAAAGACTCCTGAAAGACAAAAGCAGAGTTGAATGAATGGAAAGACAGCCCTTGTTGTTCATTTGGATGACTCAACAAAAAATGATATCAGATATTCTCCTAATTCATATATGTGTAATGTGATTTTCCAAAAATATATATATATTAAGGAGATTTTTTCTGGAGCTAGACATGTTGGCTATGAAATCCATGTAGAGAAATACGCAAAATTAACTAATCAGCCTCTTACAAAGAAGAGCCAAGAAGGAAGTGATTAGCTCTCTATCAAAACATGGTACATGAATAAACAACCAGA